GTCCAGTGTTTGAACACGCAAACAGATATTGACAGAGAGTGCCTCTGACTCCCACCATTCACAGTCGGAAACAAAAATTTGGGACCACAACGTGTGATGCAGCAGCCGCTCGAAAACGATCAGCCGAGTGCAGCACCCGTGTGGGCAAGAGCTCGCGAAATTCCTCCAAGCAGCGGATAGTTCAGGGTTGTTTGGTGTCCAGTGTGTGAACACGCAAACAGATATTGACAGAGAGTGCCTCTGACTCCCACCATTCACAGTCGGAAACAAAAATTTGGACCACAACCTGTGATGCAGCGGCCGCTCGAAAACGATCAGCCGAGTGCAGCACCCGTGTGGGCAAGAGCTCGCGAAATTCCTCCAAGCAGCGGATAGTTCAGGGTTGTTTGGTGTCCAGTCTGTGAACACGCAAACAGATATTGACAGAGAGTGTCTCTGACTCCCACCATTCACAATCGGAAACAAAAATTTGGACCACAACGTGTGATGCAGCGGCCGCTCGAAAACGATCAGCCGAGTGCAGCACCCGTGTGGGCAAGAGCTCGCGAAATTCCTCCAAGCAGCGGATAATTCAGGGTTGTTTGGTGTCCAGTGTGTGAACACGCAAACAGATATTGACAGAGAGTGTCTCTGACTCCCACCATTCACAATTGGAAACAAAAATTTGGACCACAACCTGTGATGCAGCGGCCGCTCGAAAACGATCAGCCGAGTGCAGCACCCGTGTGGGCAAGAGCTCGCGAAATTCCTCCAAGCAGCGGATAATTCGGGGTTGTTTGGTGTCCAGTGTGTGAACACGCAAACAGATAGTGACAGAGAGCGTCTCTGACCCCCACCATTCATAATTGGAAACAGAAATTTGGACCACAACGTGTGATGCAGCGGCCGCTCGAAAACGATCAGCCGAGTGCAGCACCCGTGTGGACAAGAGCTCGCGAAATTCCTCCAAGCAGCGGATAGTTCAGGGTTGTTTGGTGTCCAGTGTGTGAACACGCAAACAGATAGTGACAGAGAGTGTCTCTGACTCCCACCATTCATAATTGGAAACAGAAATTTCGACCACTATAGGCGATGCAACGGTCGGTGTCGTTGGTGAGAGATGGGTGGCACGATCGACACAGAGCTGCTTGTGGTCTGCAGGGCTTTGCAGACGGTCGAAGAGTGGGTGTGGGTCGTATCCTGCCGGTGGGCACAGCTGTCATTCGGGGCACAATGTCCGGATCGGAAACAGGATTACAGTCCTCGCCTGACCGACAAGCGACTGTCACGCGGTGTGCGCGCCTTCCTGTGCCCTCTGGGCATCCTTCTAGTACGTTGGTCCGACTGGAGTGAGGATGTCCACGTGCTAGGCATCGGCGCGGTTTTGCGGGAGGGATCGTCCCATGACGGTGTCCGCGTCCGCTGTCACGTTGCGTGAGACTCAGCAGTGTCATGGGGAAAATGTGAAGCCAGCTGTACGACCTCGATCCACCAGTGAAAGCGGTACGGTACAAATCTTTTCGATGACGTCGTCGTGCACCTCCAGCGGGCCAAGGCGGAGTGATTCCATCGCCGAGAGGGAGTCTGTGGCGGCAGGAACTCGTGTGGGCGATTGGGATGCTGCTGCCAGGCGGGAAACTGGGAAGTGTCTGAGGCAATGCTCGGTGGCAGGACGCTCCGCTCGGCAGGAGCATGCAAGGCTGCCAGCAGCTGTGCGGTGGTGCCCCACAGGCAGACCGGCTGTCCGGAGAGTCGAGTGGCAGTGCAGCGGATCCAGAGGCATGCTCAGCGAGAGACGACGAGCCGTCCGTCCAGCGGCCTGCGTCATACAGTCCCAGAGGTGCAGGCCGGTTCAAGGACCGATCGTCTGACACTGTCCGGGGTCTCTTGGGCGTGCCGTGGCTGGAGGACGCCCACCCCGTCGCAGCTCACAGTGTCGCAGATGAAAATCCGGTGCTCAGCATGAGGGGCGCGGATGCGGTGCGGGAAGATCCCAAGGTGCCTACAGACGCGTCGCATTCCGTCAAGTACGGCATCTCCCAGCAGTAGAATGGTCGTCACTGCCCTCCCAGGTATCGACTAAGGAATGGTTTCCGAGCATACTGCGCCACGCTCTTCCTCAATATACCAAAGAAGTGTGAGGCGTTCGTGCTGTGTGGGTTCGAGGAACCCAACAATCCTCCGCAGCGGTGCTAGATTGGCTGCCAGGTGGACAAAAGTATCCTTCTTTGATGCGCGTGGGCCGAGCGATGCCGTGCAGCTGTCGCGGTGCCGCACTTCCAGGCTGTGGAGGTAATTGGAGGCCGGACACGGAGCAGTTGTCTCGACACCGTGGTGCAACGCACTGTGAACGCACCCAACGAGAAAGGACCGCATGGTGCTGCTGCGGCGCCCCAGCTCCTGCGCCCAGCCACGGTCGACAGCAAAGGGGCACGAACTGCTGTGCAGCGGCGATGACGTGCAAACCAAAATTGAGGTGTCGATCAGTCGCATCGCCGAGCAGACGCACCGGGTGGGATTTGACGCGTGGCCTCCCACCGCCCAGACGATAGTCGGCCGTGTCCTCGTCAGACTGTCGGTGTGAGGCGGTGCAGAACAGAGCGGCCCCGCTCCTGTCCGCGCTGATTATCGGGCTGTGCTCGGCAGCCCATGTGGCCACAAGGAACACGGCATTTGGCATTGCCGCAGCACGGACACGGATGTCCGCACCCAAAAAAACAAGCGTGCGGTCGTCAGCGTGAATGAACGCCGACGCAAAGTGAATGCTGTCCAGGCGGCGCAGCAGACAATCCACGTGGCGGTGGAGTAGGAGCTGGGGCCGCACAACGCTGCATTGAGCTGCCACGGCTGAGGTGAGCTGCTGTCGGGAATATTGCTCGCGATCACTCACCCCAACGCAGCCGCCTCGCAGGTGATTGCGCTACCAGCGTTGGGCGCGACGGCAGAGACGTGGGAGCCCGCCGAGCACAGCCAGCAATCGCCCATCGTCAACGGTGTCGAACGCAGTCGAGGTGCCAATCGGGACGGCGAGAGAGCGGCAACGGCAACGGAGCAGCGCGGAACGATGCCCCTGCGACGCTCGCACCCCACAGCGATGCACCCGCTCAGCCCTCGTGCCGCTTCGTCACTCACAGGCGTCACCAACTCCGAGGCCGCGCGTCGTGGCGTGGATACAGGCTGACATCGGCGGTGTGCCAGCAGTGCTGACAGGCGGCGGTGGATCAGTCCTTCGCTCACACCTAGCAGGACACAGAGCAGCGTGAGTGGCCGACGACTCTCTCCGAGCGGCATGTGTCCCTCCCGTTTCTGCGGATGGAAGTGGTGTCCCCATTTCCCAGGAGCCTCGCAGGCTGCCGTCAGAGAGGTATTGATCATCGTTCTGTGCGAGCAGCAGGCAGCGGGTGTAAGATGGCGCAGAAACACATTCAATACGCCGACGGGGCCACGCCACGCAAAGCGTCGTAGGTGGCCAATTCAAGCGCATACGGCATGAAGGACCAATCCATATCCCGGTCACCAGGGGGCACGCAAGCACAAGGTGTGCAGAAAACAGTGGGGACCGCAGCACGTGAGACGCGGACAGTGTGACGGACGAGCGGGTTGCCCGCTGCAGAGACAGAGCACAGACGCGGTCCCAACAGCACAGCACAGCCGATCTCAGAGGGCGGGGACGTGGCGCTGCCATGCCTCGGAGCATCACAGGCTTGGGCTCGAGAGGGCACCAAGATTTTTCGCACGGACCTCTGGCAGCATGGAGAAAACACGGCGAAGGGTATGATTGCGGTCCTCCCATTTGCGGAGAGCTTCAGCTCGGGCAGGCTGCCTCCGGGTGAGGCTGTGTGTGCTTTGCATGCTGCTTCTGCGACGACCTCGGCTTGCACCATTCCGTGTGTCCACATCGTTTTGGGGCTGTCACGGCTGCCGCACGGGGTATGGCGCTCAGCTGCTCGCACGATGCCTCTGCGGATGTCCAACCATGTGGGTGCGATGGCAAGGAGTGTTTCACACAACGAGGTCAAAGCAGGCCAATACGCTTTGCGCAGGGCGAATGCGGCTTTCTTCCGTTGAGGCAGCGTGTTGGCTAGTCGCGGGATGCCGTCATCCATCCCCACCAAGTAAGATATCAAGCGGTGGTCCGAATCCATGTAGGGGGTGGATTTCCAGTGGGTGATGCGTAGCACGCGATACGCAGTCACGTCAGGGGACGAGACATTACGATGTGTGATCCGTGTTGCCTACGTCGGGTCATTTGCCGGCTCAAAATTCATATCAAGCAAAATAGCGGCAAAGTCCCCTCCTCCAGTCGTTGGTGGTGTTTGTGACTGTCCCAGAGTCCATGATGCAAATTCAGTTTACCCGCGATAATCGCTGCGGGGCCAAGCGACAAACGATATTGATAAATGCGGATTATTGACCAATTGTTGTGGGAGGGTTGTAGAGGTTCACCACGCAAATGCTGGGACAGCCCGGTGGAAATACACGGACAGCAATGGTCTCCAGGAGGTCTTTGCCAGGGAGCGTCAGGCGCTCGCACGGCAGAGAGTGGCGCACCAGAGTGGCAACGCCACCACCGCACCCAGTGCGGCCTCAAGAAAGCTATTACAGCCATATAGTCTTGCCGCTGTGGCACTTCGATTATTTGTTGCCTGGAGAAGAACAATGTCAGGTTGGGGCAGCTCCAATCGCACAGCAAACGCAATATTTTTTACGGACGAGAGGCCTGCAATGTTACGCTGCCAAATAGTGATGTAGCCATCCACCTCGGGGCCGGAATTCTTGTGGACGCCACCGCAACGGGTAATATCAACGGAATGACCGCAGCGAAACGGTCGTGCAGTTTTGTCCGACAGTCTGCAGGCAGACCGCTTCACCTCCCCGCACCGGGCATGGCGTGGTACCTTCTCGAGGGGTGGAGTCGTATTGGTCTCCGTCGTGCTCGCAGCAACGCACCGTTGCGGAGTTCCTATATGCAACCAGAGCTCTAGCACAGCGACAAGTGGCGGACCTCACTGCTGGGGGCCCAGGAAAAGTCGCAGTGCCTCCTGCTTTCACACGGGTCCTTGTTGAAGTCTTGATGCGGACAAGCACCCATCGGTTATTCAAAACAACGCCGTACACCGCGACGCATCCTGCGCTGTGAGACGCACGACCTTCACTACAACCGGAGTCGTCCACGCGCCGTCGGTACGCACCACATCCAAAAGAAAAAAGCAGGGATGCGTCAGGGTGACAGCAACGCTTCCGCTGGAAAATCGCATCACAGGCACCATAACAAACAGCACCAGAAACACTGCAAGCCACGGGTTAACGTGGACCAACTGAGGCATGGCGTATGTCGAAGGAAAAACTTAGTGGCCTGACAAGGATAAAAAAGGCTGACACTTCAAAACAAAAAAAACGATATGGAAATATCAAAAGAAGATTAAAGTTTCCACAGTCAAAGCATGCCGCCAATCAAAGAAAAGGATTGAACGGGTGCTCTCAACCACAAAACAATGAAAAACAAAACAAAAAGCCGAAGCGTGGGACGACCAGCGCACACACTCTCATTGCTCTCGTAAAGCAAAACACACACACAGGGAGAGAGAGAGAGAGAGGTCGCCCACTCAATGCAATAAAAACAAAACAGAAACAGTTACGGTGCTCCGCCCATGCAGCCAGGCAGGACGGCAGCGGTGCGTGTCGTGCAAAAGAGAGCACCAACGGGCCTGCATGGGTGTGCATGCAATATATACAATGGGCACATTATGTGTGTGCTTCGTGGGATGAGGTGAGGGCGAGAGTCCATGCAAGGGGAAACACAGAGAGTGGGTGAAAGACGAGTGTGTGTGCGGGCGGTGCATGGCGCTCTCTCACTCACTCTCACGCGGCCACCACCGCAGCAGCAACCGCACACGGAACAAGAAGAAGAAGCAAAAGAGGGGAGGTGGTGTGGGAGACCGCGGTGCTGCCGTCACTATCACCAGGTGTCGTATCATTTTTTTTGGCGACGGTGGTGGCTGTTGTTTCTGCTCTTTGTGGTTCTGTCTCACTGGCTGTAAGAGCATCGTTGGTATTACCAGTTTCGGGACTGATGTTGTGTTCTTTGGAGGCAGGCCGTTCATCGGTGTCATCATCCTTGCCCTCCTTTTCGTGGGCATCTCCACTGTCAGTTGTAGAGATGGGTGTTGCTGTTGTTTTTCCTGGGTTGTCGGTAACTGCATTCTTCATTAAATCCGCTGGGGCTTTTTCATGACGTTTTCGTTCTGGCACTTTATCCCCTAAAGATGTTTCCAGTGCTTCGGGCTCCGTTTTAGTTGGTAACGGCAAGTTTTCTAGCGGTTGATCCTTCTTATTCCGTGATTCCGTTGGTGCTGGTAGACCTCCCTTCTCTGGTGGATCGGCCGGCGTTTGTGTCACTTCTGGTGATGTTATTATTTGTGGCTGCGGTGGTGGTGGTGCAGGTTGGTTGCTGGAAGGACCTGTGGTTCCCATTTCACGCTGCTTTACACCTTCTCCAGGTGCACCACGAACAACTTGATTTACTGCCTTTTCTATTGTATGAGAGGACTGTTCCTGTGCCTTGGGTAGTGTCTGTTCCAGTGCCTTCAATTCGGGCGACAAGTGTCCTGCAGATATTTCTTCTGACTTCGGATCCTTTTCCGGGGATTTCCTGCTCTTAGCAGATAAAGTACCGCTGAGAGTATTTGAATCAACAACATCGTTGAGAATGGGGGATGAGGACAAATCATCAGGGGAAAGAGAATCCGAATGACCACGAACATCTTCCCTGTCGCCACCGAAATTGTTAACAATACCTCCACTTCCACCAGAACCACCGCCACCAGCAGTGCCCTCATTTAAAATTTGACTTGACTGGGAATCAGTGTCGACGGTATTAGAAACGTCTTCGTCATCCGAAGCTTCTGCAGTAGTGATGAGCAAAATAGAACGCATTGCCAGCCCGACTTCGGTTTTATCACATCCGCTCGACAAATAAGACATTTTCCCTCCAAACCCTCCTGACGCCATGCAGCCACCAACTGCGTTGTTGAGAGTACCCCTCGCATAAACACCGCCGGCACCGCACCACAGCACGCAGAGGCCACACACCAGCAGCACACGGCCAGTCATCATCATCGCCATCACTCCTGTCACTTGCGTGCAGCCTTCAGCACAAACTAACTCCCCGTCAACGCAGACTGAAAGCAAAAAAAGGAGAGATATAGCACAGTAAAAAACACTAGCAGAAGCAGCACGCAATTCATGAAAAATATTGAGCCAATGAAGACGCAAGAAACGATCAACGTCAGGCTATAATTTGAATAAAAAATAAAAAATAAAAAAATAAACAAAGCAAAATTAAACAGGCACCAATAAAATAAAAATAATAATAATAAAAAAACTGAATTCAATTGGCACAGTGCACATGCGCCCATCCTCTACAGTGCATCATTGTAAACAGTTGTGTGCGTGTCATGCATATGAATGTGTGTGAGATGCGTTCAACGTGGTGGATGTGGGAAGCAACGCGGAGCACACAGCGGGGCAGAAGAAGCAAAAAAAGCAATCAACATAATTACTCTTACTTTATACATCGGACCACAGTAGACGTACACGTGTCCCCGTGGCAACACTTAGCCACGCACAACCCACGCTCCCTTTCAGCCCACAGCGGTGCACGCCAGCGCGGATACGGCGAGCAGCAGCGGGACACACACCCACGCAGAGCTGCTGAGGCTGCCGTCGATTTCGCGAAGACGTGACGGTGCGTGGGTGGTCGTCGTGGTTGGTGCATCTGTAGTCGTCGTCGTTTTTGCCTGTACCTTAACGTCAGCCACATTTTTTTCCTTTGCCGTACCAAAATGTTTAGTCTCTGCATTCTCAGTGGTTTTGTTTCCTTCGCCGGCCGCTCAACCTTGAGGCCCTTCCACACCGGACGCACATTGTGACTGTTCCGCACCGCTTCCCAAGCTTCTTGACCCTGGCGTAGTGGTCCCACGTGATCCCTCTGGAGTACTGGCGATTGTGTGGGAGTCATTACCTCCACCAGCGACCGTCACGCACACGGACGTGCAGCAGCAGCACAAGAGCGCAAGGACCAACACGGTGCACACCACACGGAGCCGCACCGTCACCATCGTCACCATCGCAGTCATCGTCACCCGTGGTGGAGTCACTGGAGTCAGTGAGCTGATCCGTGAGTCAGAAGGAAAAGGAATGGAACAGGAGGGAGAGGGACGGAGTGCAGCGAATACAGCGAGAGAGAGCAGACAACATGAGGAGAGGGCAGCAGGCCCAGCCGCACAGTTCACACACCACAAGACGGCATCCACGCAACGAAGGCACACAACGCCAGCAGCCACCCACCATGCAGGAGGACAACACATCCACCACCATCTCCCCCAGCTCATCGCTACAGCCCCAGAGAAATGTCAAAAACCCGCGGCCACCACACAACGCACACGGAGCGAGCACCCACCACACCAGCCACACGCGCCAGTGGACCCTCATCCATCCATGACGCGGCACCAAAATTTCCAGCCATCCCGCCCTCAATGGGACACGGAGCCCAACTCAACGCAGCCACACGCGGTGCATCACACCCGCAGGAAAAGACACTCGGGCTGCGCACTCCCTCTCCTCCCTTCGCCTCATAGCCACGGAAGAAGACAACAGCCGCCACACGCAACTGCCAGCATGCACTACAAAAGGAGCATTCAAATCCACTGCAATGTGCATCTTGTGTGTGTGTGGTTGTGTGCCTGCAGAAACACAAAGCAAAGAAGTAGAAAAGAGGGAGCAGAGTATGTGGAGAGACGCACAACAAAAATGTACAGCAGAGACGCATAACGGAAACAAATAGAAGAAGACCGCTCAAACTCATGACTGCACTGCAGCCCAGGCAGTGGCAACCCACACACGATTTATTTAAAACAAAAAGAAAACGTTCCCCTTCGTCTTATATAAACCCCATCACACAAAATAATTACAAATGAAAAAGAAATCGTCCATTACTGTTCCACACAAATTTAAAAATCGCCTGGCTGCCGTGTGGCCACACCAAACTGTCTGTATATATTTTGCCCGGAAAAGAAAATTGAAAAGATGGTTGCGTGTGTTTCAACCGTCTGACCCTCCAAAGGCACCTCAATGACGTCAAATATTTCCACCGCATGGCACCCACAACACAATCGCGTGGCATAAACTACCGCCTTGCAGCACCCCATGCAATGCGGCAATCGAAAACCGTCTCGAACACGGCGTGCAACAAAGGTACCGAAAGAAGGCGCAGCAAATACCCTCCACATCTCAGCAGTTCCAATCATCCAGTAAAAGGCAGGAGCACCAGACAGCACCCACGGACTCACCGAATATGGCATCAAAAGGCAGCGAGATGCTAGATGCCGAAAGGCTCGCATTTCTTCCCCCCTGACACTTCCAAAAATGAATGCAACTGCCATGCCCTGCGGCCTCTCGACCCCTTCGAGACAACGTTGCGGCCACATGGCGACGGCTCAATGTGGCTGGCAATCAGGTCCAGTCGTCGCGGCAAAACAGTACAGAAAGTAGGGTGGTGGGCCCGCACATTTGCCCCTTTGATGCCTGCCTCAGCTGCAAGAGTGAAACTCGTCTTCCCAACAGCCGCGCTTCGGGTGTCTGAAACACCTGCCCTCACACCGGCGATGACATCTGCAAGCGCCTGTAATTCCTCAACACCGCCCGTCAAAAAAAAAAAGAAAAAACCGGCACTCAAACCCTGCAGCCGCACATCCCTCGTAACCATCTGCAAACTCGTTGTCCTGCAGAAACACCCGAACAACATAACAAGAAGGCCGTGCATTGCTGGCAAAGGACAAGAACACGTTGCTTTCATCCTGCAAAAGATGATTTTGCCTCCTGCGTAACGCGGCCACAAGTACGTGGTGCGCCAACACCGAAGCGGTGGGCATGTTGCCCCATGACCCTCCCTCACCACAGGGGTCCAAGAAGTGCAACAGACCATCCTCTCACCAAAGAAAAGGCCGAATGGAGCGAACACTGCAGTGTGCGGACCACCCAGCAGAAACACCCTCAGAGAACGAATGCTCTTGAATGCCCTTCAGAAAAAGCCAGCGGGTTGGCCGTGAAGCAAACAAACACCGGAGAGCCACCTGCTGTGCACGCATCCAATGACGCAATTGGGAGCGCAATGTTGCAGGGCACATCAACCACCCCGTTCTCGTCTCCGTCTGTGCCGGCACGACAGTCCTGCCATCGCACTTCGCCCTCACAAAGTATTCCACAGGGTCCTTTGAACCAGAGACAACCACACGGCAATATGCCGCCGGATGAGTGCTCTCCATACCGCACAAAATAAAATTTTCCCCACGTCGAGGACCGCAGTGAAAACGAGCATAACGATGAGCAACACGAGGGTTCTCTGTGCCCTAATTCATCACAACACTCTATCCTCCGTTGGTTCAGGCCTCTGCCACACGACGAGGCACAGATGTAACATCATTTACACGCAACAGAGTGAAATCCGCAAGAACATTGTCATACAGGACGCAACAACCACCAGCCCACTCAGCAGCCGTTGTGGCCATATTCCGCGAAACATGATCCACGCCCACAGGGAAATTTGTTTTCCAGTTGAACAAATAATTGTTGGGCCAAGCAACGTGGGCCCAAGAACGACGGCACCAGTCGATATTAGACCTTGAAGCCGCCAGTGAGAGCCATTGATTGGAATAAACACCAAAGCCACCAACGGCCAAAAAGAACTGCGAAAAGGCACTCGTACTTCAATCAAAGAACGGATTCGTCTCGTCCAGGAAGAAGAAATAATAAATAATATTTTTCCTCCTCACAGTGCCTTCCAGCAATAAAAAACCATCATGCGATCCGCCCTATCGGCATTACTCAGGAGCACAAGACATGTGCAATGCGTAGAGGGCTCTGCAATCAGGCGGATGAGAGATGCTCCACGGTGGCAAACAGACTCCTCACAGGCCAAGCATCAACCAGTCGCGAGCAGCATGTCTCTTCATGGGCTCGCCGTTTTGGTTCCAACCGAGACGGAAAGCCTTCGTCGCTCAGCACCAACCCCGCGTTGCGAAGTGTCGTCACATAAAGCAAGTGAGGATGGCAGAGCGCATCATCAGGGAAATCGCCCTCAAGTGTGGGAAACGGCATCGTACCCGCCGGAAAAAGGTGCGCATGATGTCCCTCCACGTCAGCCGCGCAGCCTGTCAGCTGAAGGAAAATTAGGTGAAAAGGAAGTCAACGCACTCACCTCCACCCCAGGCAGTTTTATCAGGAGAATCGAATCATCAAGTCGGGGGCTCCACACTTGTTGAGGGATATTGTGACCCTCTGACACGTCCACGTGCATGTCCACACAATGTCCTACTTCCTTATCTCCCCCTGCATGCGCCCGCATCGTCTCTTAAGCCCCATCCAGGACAGATCAGATGGCGAGTGGCACCTGGTCAGCCAGCGCCGTTCCATTCCTTAAAGTAAAGAAGCTCCCAGCCCCAAAATCACTGGCTATCAATCAATGATGCCGTTAGCACAATGCCTCCTCTGGCCAACGCCATACACCTGTTCCGGAGTACATGTTGTCCCATGCCTCGCTGACGCCACCCTCAGCATCCCCTACAGGTACACCGTGCACTCATTCCCAAAATACGGGTGTGGACTTCACCTCAAGAAAAATACTCAATTTGCCTGAAAACTGCTCGTTGAAAGTTGTCATTGTGTTGGGTGTCGGGGGCAACGCAATCACACGTCGCAGCTCCTCAGGAGATCAAAGAAGATAGCAATCATCATTCAATTGGGATGGGCTTCGCAAACCCCTTGCGACTTTTTGTCCGATGGGGTGCTTCAGTGCGTATGAAACCTTGTCCGTGGGACGGAATGCCTATGCGCTCTAAAAGAGTAAGAACGAACTCACGGGAAAAGAATACGTAACATAACGGAAGCAAAATGCCACAAATAAGACAGAACGGTGGAAAAATTATATGAGGGATATATATACGAAAATAAGCTTTGATCAACGTATAGATATATCGATATGGGTATGAGTATAAAAACGATACTTTATTCTTATTCATTGATGCATGTGTATAGATATGGATATATCCCTTCTCTCCCCTACAATT